AAAAAGAAAACTGCACATCCCAAACTTGTAAAACAATTTGGGAAAGGAAAAGTCATTATCATAAAATATCAAATATTCAAGTTCTCGCTTTGTTCCATGAAATTCATGCCTTCTCCCATCCACAACAGAGAAATAATTGGATCTCTATTCCTTTCATAATGACATCCATATAAGTTTCTATGCACTGAACTAGTCGAAATGAGCATTGCAAGAGGTCATAATAGGAAGATACGATAGCAAAAAGAGAAACATTTTCCATCCTTCAGCAAGTAACTGCCTCTTCCACAAAGCAGACAATATCAATGCAAAATACCAACATAAACACCAGAAAGAGGTGAAATGACTTATTGTTCCTCAAAACCTAAAGAGCGGATATGGAGTCTCTACTCTGTTAGTATATAGGGACAAGTTAGTGGCAGTTAATGAAACATTATCATAAGAAAGGAAAAGAAAAAAAAAAGTCTTCGAGCAACTCTTGTTGTCCTCTAACAAATTTGAGGTTTGTAGATTTCCATAAAAATAAGTTATTTGAAAAACCTCAGTCACTAACACGACTTGTCGACTTCTTTAAAGGGAAATATTATTTTCCATAAGAATAGTCTACCCCATATGAAAATAAACTTCACTTAACCTTTAAATTCCAATCATGTTGGTCTTGCCTACTGCAAAGATCACCATTGTCTTCTAGAGCCTTAGTTTTATCATGCAGTTAGTGCAGTCAATATACTAATAAATAATAATAAGGTGCGGTCTCTTGGATCACACCACAAACCAAATTACAAAACATCAGCATCAGAGGGCATTACATAAAGGCCCTCCCAGTTACAAATGAGGTCAGCTTAAGGGCATCTCTCATTACAGATTGACAGCTTCATAGAAGAACAGTTCCAAGCTGTGGAGACAGTATTAATGATCTGGATATCAGAATGATCAAAAAAATATTGATGATCTGGATATTCTAAGGACCCTTGTGACCAAACGTACGTTGAAGAAAAATGTCTAAAAGTATGTTATAAATACCGTATCCTGTTAACCTATTCAAAAGCGGCATAGCATACTCTGAATAGCTAATAGATGCATACCCATTATACAGGGGCCTATTATTTCCAGCTGGTGTTTAGCAGTTCTAGTAAATACTTTTGTCCAAATATAAGAATAATATACAAATGCCCCAACATGTGATTGCTTGAAGATTAACGTAGAATATAAATTCTTCTAAGGAAGCAGCTAGACAATTCATTACAATCTCTGTTTCCTATAAACGTTTATACGCCATTTTGCAGATTACTTGATGCAAGCATAGGAAGCCCATATATAAGTAATAGTTTAATAGATATTTCATTTAATGGAGTGAAGCAGCCATATAGCATTTCACTGTTAGATCACTGATCACATAACAATAACAATCACATTTAGTTCAGGGCTTACACGCTAAGATAAATCGGATGTAAATCATCATTGGTATTAAATCTGAAAACAACTATTTAAAGACTCCACGCAACTATTCAGCCATCATGGCATTATCAGTGATAGAGGTCGTCAAGTTTACATTTCTTTTACACAAAACATGAACCTACAAAGAGACAAAAGTATGTAATATATAAGCAGATAAGTAAACCATGGTCAATGACACATGTCAACCAAAATTCGTATTCAATAAAGGCAGGTAGATCATACAGATACCAGACACGTTTCAAATCTAACACAAAATTTCTTAAAATTAAAAGTGTCTTCAAAACATACCAACCTGTATCTAACCCAGTCATCTTTCCCACCCAAGAGTAAGCATATCTTGAGGAAGTGAAGCAGGATCGAGCTCCCAACAATCTTTTGGAAGATCACGGGCTTCAGTGCCTGAGAGTTTCTTTGCAGGAATCTGATGCGAAAATAACCGAAAATTATCTTTTTCAAGCCATATAATAGCATGACATCCAACCTCTCTTCTCTTAAATATGGTTTTGAACCCTTCCACCTTCTCAAGGTATGCCATGCTCAGCCCATGCATCTCGCTATAGCTCGTAAGAGATATAACAATATCATAAGACCGTGTGTCCCTTGACATTTGGTTTCTGTCATCTCCAGTCATACTCTTTTCACTATATAGAGCCCATATTGAACCCTTTCTAGGGTAGATACAATAAACCTCTCGAGCCACTCTTTCACATAACACAAGATGAGAAAAAACATTAACAGAATCAATAACAATCTTCTTAGAAACCTTAAACCGTCCACATGAAGTATGGATTCCTGCTTTCTCCCAACAGATCAACCTCTCATCCTTGGTGTTCTCCATATCTAACCAACTCATTTTCACAACAAAAGGATTCACTGACTCCACTTCATCAATCAAACCATAATGTCGAGGCATACCATCATCATCATCATAAATAGCCCAAACTTGAGCCTTTCTAACACATCGTTCTGTCCTATCCCTGTCAAAATCATAAAAGTCTGAATCCTCGACAACCATTACTTCCAAATTGCCGTTTTTCTCTAAATTGGCGACCACACCCCTCATTCGTTCCTTCTCCTTCTCCATCTGCCTTTGCCTCTTCTCTATTTCCCTCTCTGTCACTCTCACCTTCTCATTCTTATTTGTTTCCTCTTTGTCCTTCACCTTCATCTTGTCTAATTTTTTCACCTTCTCTTGAAGCTTCCTCTTTGCTTCCAATTGCATTTGAGCCAATGTCATTTCAGGTTGTCCTTCCACTTTCTTTGTCCTAGATCTTAAATTAAACCTCGATTTCTCTGCCGAATCACTAACATCATCAACAATATCAATCTTACGCTTTACAGATATCCGTAACGATCTTTTAACCGGTTCATTCACCAGATCCTGAACAGAACGAGTACGTGCAGTACCCCTAGTACTTCTAACCCTACTTTCTTTTTGCTTAACGCCAATAACATCATCATCATTATCATTATCATTATAATTTTCATTATCATCATCCACATCATCCTCAACTAAAACTTCTTCAGCTAAAAAACTCTTCTTACAACTAGGACAAATTAATCTATGTCCAACATACTTCCTATCAAATTGATGAAACAAAGCACAAGTAGAACAAGCAGTCCAAAACGTGTCAACAACAGAAACAGGCTGTTGTTGTTCATCAAGAACAACAGCCTTAGAAGCAGTAACTTGTGATTGTAACGCAATACGAAGTTTCAAGTCATAATCTTTCCTTCTAATTTTATCAGAAAGAAGTTGATGTGCTTCAGAAACACGCTTAAAAGCTTCTTCAGAAGCAATACAAGTGTTTTTATCAGGATGTAAAATAAGTGCAAGTTTCTTATATTGTTTCTTAATTGAATTTATATGAGAAAAAGGTTCTACCTGAAGAATAGAATACCAATCAGGACCAGCAGCAGTTGAAGATGATGAAGATGAAGATTTGGAGTAAATGTAGAGAATGTTGAAAGAAGTAATCATATCTGAGATTCCTTCAAGATTAGGGCAAAGATGTTGTGCTCTTTTCGCGTATTTGAGTGCTGATTTGAGTTTGAAACATTTGTATTTCTGTTCAGCTAGGGTTTTTAGTCTAATCGCTTCTACTTCTTTTTCGGTAACTTGGTCTTCGAGTTGGTGTTCTTCTTCTTCGAGATTTGGTTTTGGTGGTTTCGTTGTTCGTGTTCGAGCCATTACTGTTAACTGTGAAGAAAGAAAGAGAGAGAGATGAAAATTGAAAATGGCGAGCGTTCTCTCTTTCTAGTTCTCTTATACTTCATTTGTTTAGATTAAAAAATCCCAAACCCAAACCTGTCAGAACAGTTCAGTAGTCCAAAACTCCAAAGACCATAGAATCAATTTTCTCTAATTAAAATGAGGGATATTTAGGTTTTGGTCTCTCTTTTAATAGTATAATTAGGTTTTGGTTTGTACTAAGGTTTTAGTCCATTTTCCGTTTATTGACTGCATTGACCATCGGTT